TGTCTGTTTTCCAGGCCCTTTATAACCTATCCCATTTTGCTTATTAGACTTTACTTCTAACTATTCTACATATGTTTTCCATTTATTGCCCACATATGTGTCCTGCTGATTTCAACCCATGGGTCAGATTCATCTCAGTGTCCCCGGAACATGATAAAAAGAGGCAGGGTAGGGCCCAATAAATGCAAGCTGACTGAGTCAACATTTGCCATTTGTTTCCCTTTCTTTTCTTTTCTTTTCTTCTTTTTTTTTTTTTGAGACAGAGTCTTGCTCTGTTGCCCAGGCTGGAGTACGGTGGCGCCATCTTGGCTTACTGCAAGCTCCGCCTCCTGGGTTCATGCCATTCTCCTGCCTCAGCCTCCCAAGTAGCTGGGACTACAGGTGCCCGTCACCACACTCGGCCAATTTTTTTGTATTTTTAGTAGAGACCGGGTTTCACCATGTTAGCCAGGGTGGTCTCGATCTCCTGACCTCATTGATCCACCTGCCTCAGCCTCCCAAAGAGCTGGGATTACAGGCGTGAGCCATCGCGCCGGGCCCTGCCATTTATTTCCCTTTCAACATCCTCTTTTTATATTCCACATATTCTTCAAGTCCCACATTCTGCTTGAAGACCTCCTCAGTTTCTCCAGCTCTTATGACCTCCTCCTTCACTGAAGAAAAAAAAAAATTAAAAAAAAAGGAAGGAAAGAAGAAAGAAAGGAAGAAAAAAATTCCCACAATGGGCTTTTGGAGAGACAAAAGCATAGGGAAGAGAAAGGAAGATTAATAGTCTGATAGCAAACACTCTTTAGTTATTCAGGAAATACGTCAATCATGAGTCACTAACTTTCTATGGTACCATATAATCTGTATTATTCTGTTTAGAACACATATACTGTCAGTGTTCCGTGCTAAGCATGTGAAATGAATTCATTCTGCCTCCCTATGTCAGTTCAGAAGTAATTGCTTCCTGCTTCCCTGATTCCTCGTGTTGAGTTAAATGCTCACTTTCCATGGTCTCATGACACCTTGTTCTTACTTTTTTTGTTTTTTGAGAGAGGATCTCGCCCTGTCATCCAGGCTGGAGTGCAGTGGCATGATCTCAGCACACTGCAACCTCTGCCTCCTGGGTTCAAGCGATCCTCCCGCCTCAGCCTCCCGAGTAGCTGGGACTAAAGGGGCATGCCACCATACCTGGCTAATTTTTGTATTTTTTGTAGAGACAGGGTTTCATCATGTTGCCCAGGCTGGTCTTGAACTCCTGGGTTCAAGTGATCTGCCTGCCTCGGCCTCCCAAAGTGTTGGGATTATAGCCACTGCACCCGGCCCCTGTGCTTACTATTAACTTAATCTCTTGTATTAAAAATGCCCATTTATTAGTCTGATTCCCCCTTAGACTTTGAGTTTCACGAGAGAAGGTCCAGGCTTACTAGTTTTTTTTTTAATCTGTTCCTTTTACAGGTGTATCAATTCTATACGTGTAGATGGCACATAAACCATCTCTGAAGTAACTAGACTGTAAACTTTGGAAGATAATGATCATGTTTTGTAATATATATATATATATTTTGAGACAGAGTCTCACTCTGTCGCCCAGGCTGGAGTGCAGTACCATGATCTCGGCTCACTGCAAGCTCCACCTCCCAGGTTCACCCCATTCTCCTGCCTCAGCCTCCCAAGTAGCTGAGACTACAGGCGCCCGCCACCACACCCAGCTAATTTTTTTGTATTTTTAGTAGAGACGGGGTTTCACCATGTTAGCCAGGATGGTCTCGATCTGCTGACCTCGTGATCCGCCTGTCTTGGCCTCCCAAAGTGCTGGGATTGCAGGCGTGAGCCACCACTCCCGGCTCATGTTTTGTGTTTTTTATCTTTATATTCTGGGTTCCCAGCTCAGTGCTCAGGTGTTCAGAAAGTTTGTGAATGTTAACATTTCTGTGCTCTGCTCCTTTCACCACTCACAAGCAACCTTGCACTTGCCCATCAAAACCTAGTAACTGAGCACTTTTATTCTAGTAAGTGCTTATACGGTGTTGTTCACTGAGATTAATGCTGTTGACCACTGTGAGAGAGAAACAGTAAGCAAATTTATTAATTATATTTTGCTTGGAAACTCTATAAAAGAGTGTGTTTAAATAAGAACTTCTGCCTCTCTTTCCTACTTTCAGAGAATAAGTTTTGGAGCCAGGCAGAATTAGATATGAATCTTGGCTTTGCAAATACACTAGCTCCTGGCCTTGGGTATGGCCTTTTGGGATATTAAATTAAAGATGGGGATAACAATACCTGTTCTGTAGGATCATTATGATGATTGAATGTGTAAAGAGAGAAAAGGTGTTTAAGCACCACACTTGGCACATAACAAGCATCCACAAAAGTTAGTTTTTACTCCTTGATTCTCTCCTTCCTCAAGAGGATCACTTGGATCACCTCTTTCCACACAGTATCTAGTGTATTACATGACATTGTCTAGTTTAGCCTAAGGTTAGGCTTCCTTTTCTTATACTACCTGTTTCCCAGGAGCTTTGAGTCTATATTTATATACATTTGAACATGTAATGTGTACATGTTTGGAAGTCTATACAACTGCCCATAGTGTTCATCTGTATACAAGAGCCATAGGTTTCCAGCTATTCTCACATTTAGTTTGAGAAACTTCAGAAGGTTACGTTAAAATTGCTGAAAAGCGGCCAGGTGTGGTGGCTCACAGCTGTAATCCCAGCCCTGTGGGAGGCCGGAGCGGGCGGATCATGAGGTCAGGAGATTGAGACCATCCTGGCGAACACGGTGAAACCCTGTCTCTACCAAAAACACAAAAAAATTAGCCAGGAGTGGTGGCGGGCGCCTGTAGTCCCATCTACTCCGGAGGCTTAGGCAGGAGAATGGCATGAACCCGGGGGGGTGGAGCTTGTAGTGAGCGGACATCACGCCACTGCACTCCAGCCTGGATGACACAGCGAGACTCCGTCTCAAAAAAAAAAAAAAAAAAAAATTGCTGAAAAGAACACACATGCTCCTTTCCCCTTGCTACTGCCATCTCCACCAGCCTGATTCCCCCTGTTAAATGACAGCACTGTGAAAAATTCCTGGGATTAAGCTAGGGTGAACAGATTCCACTGTCAGTATCTAAAAGCAAATAGGAGGAGTGCTCCCCAGAAGTATCCAGCTATAAGACCTGCATGCTGCTATTGCTCAGTAATAAAAAATGATAAATGGGTGATGCCACTTTGCCTCAGTGGGACTGGATAAAAGTAATGAACAATGCTATACTTTTCCCAATCTCTCCTTTTTAGAAGACAGTGGTGAAGAAATGGTAGATGTACAAGGCACCCCAGATAGCCTTAGTGAACAGCTCCAAATATCATATCCTGTCTGTGGCCTCTCTCATCCCAATCTGAGGGTTTGTGGGAGTTTTTCATCCTCATAATGCTGAAGCCAAACCTCCATGCTCGCATTTTCCCAATTGTCTCCAAAATCATCAATAAAGTCTGAACATATTTTCCAAAACAAAGTTAATTTTAATGAACTTAATATTTCTAAAAATGTGTGTCAAAGAATTCCATTTTTGGCAAAGAGTGACTAGTTGGTCTTTTTCAGACATCTTGCTGATAACGATTACAAATGCTGAACAAATTAGCACTTTTTAAAAACACCAATTTGGAGGTATAGAAGAACAATCAAAGCAGTGAGAATTTGCTAGTTCAAGATCTGGAGAAAAAGAGAGGTCAAGAAAGGTGAGACTGGTATTTGGGGACACTTTACCCTGAAGATAATTGCTGATTCCAAAAGCAAAAGTAGCGCTGAGAGGCTGAAAAGAGCTTTCGGCAGGTTCCCAGCCAGGATTGATGAGACAAAAATTGTAGTAAAGTACCTGAAAAGGAGGAAGGGTCCTGGTAAATATCCCCAGGATTTCTTTTTCTTTTTTTGAGATGGAGTCTCACTCTGTCCCCCAGGCTGGAGTGCAGCGGCGAGATCTCGGCTCACTGCAACCTGCGCCTCCCAGGTTCAAGCGATTCTCCTGCCTCAGCCTCCTGAGTATCTGGGACTACAGGCACCCACCACCATGCCCAGCTAATTTTTGTGGTTTTTTTTGTAGAGATGGGGTTTCGTCATATTGCCCAGGCTGGTCTTGAACTCCTGGGTTCAAATGATCCACCTGCCTCGGCCTCTCAAAGTGTTTGGATTACTGGCGTGAGCCACCGAGCCCAGCCTCTCCAGGCTTTCAGCTGGGACCATGAAGCCTCCACTCTAGGGATAAGGGCAAACTGGGAATAGACCAGCTCTCAAAAAGCCCAGCTTTGACTTCCTCAGACACTTATTAGATGAAAGTTTCAGCCTCTAGCCTGTTCGCTTGACAGAAACAAAAGGAAACCCTTCTAGAGAGAGGTAACATCATATAGAACCTCAACTCATCTCTAGAGCTCAACAGGCTTTTTTGAAGAAATTGACAACATGGTTCTAAAATTTAGATGGAAATGCAAAGGACCTAGAATAATCAAAACAATATTGAAAAAAGAACAAATTTAGAATATTTATACTAACAAGTTCAAGATTTGCCATAAAGCTAGAGTAGACACATACAGATTAATGGAACAGAATCAAGTCCAAAAATAGATCTACACATATATAGTCAACTGATTATCAACCAAGGCATCCAATCAATTCAATGAGGCAAAGGAATGCCTATTTAACAGATGTGTGAAAAAACTAGGTATCTCTATGGAAAGACAACTCTGACTCCTATGGCATTCCATACAAAAAATTAATTCAAGATGGATCGTAAACCTACATTAAAAACTAGAACCATAAAACTTCTAGAAGGATATCTTTGCGACTATGGAGTAGATGGAACTTTCATAGGTAGAATATAAAATGTACTAGCCATAAAAGTAAAAATAAAATATTGGACTTCAAGAAAATTAATTTTTTTTGCTTATCGTAAGACACCATTTTGAAAGGAATAAGTAAGAAATAGACAGGAGACGGCCCCAGCCCGCGGGCTAACGCGGGCACTCTCCATGAGACTGCTGGCGCCAGCGCCTGCCAGCGCTGCACCGGCCTGGGGAGCTCGCTTCCCGCTGACTCAGCGGCGACCGCAGCGGTGTTAGCCGCTCTTGCGCTCTTTCCTTTCCTGGGGCGCCCACCCTGCCCGCTTGCTTGCTTGCCAGCCTGCCTGCC